AGTCTCTGGCGTTGGGCTCTTCTATAGGGCAGTGTGTTATTTCTTCTCGACAGTCTATCTCTGAAATTTACAGAGAGTGCCACGTCAAAGTATTCTAGCGTGTTCTGTTTACCTCTATGCTTCACCTGCAACGCCAAACTTTCTTTCTAAAGGAGGAGGCCCTAACTTAATCCTCTCGACTTTTGCCTGAAACACCACATCAATTACAAAAAATGTATCGTTTTACAAACCCTTGTGGTATTCAAAGAAAAGATCCGTCCGCTTAATCCCTCCTTTCATTTCACAGTGTGGTTACGCACACTATCTTAAACCATAATCCCTTTGTCGCCACCAATCACAAAAGCCTTAAGAAAGTGTATCTCTGCAGACTAAATATGTACCGTATGCAGCTCGTGATGTTGAGGACAGTCAATGATAATGCTGACCTTAGAATCTGATAACAGCTGTAGGTGGTGGTAAGATTCGTAATAAGAAAAAACCTCCCTTTTACAGAAACAAACTGGTACAAATTGCGTGCTACTGAAAGCCCCTGTAACCATCAAACACCGCAAGCAGACCTGTCAATCCCTTGACAGTTCAGAGCAGCAGTTGGCATGGATCTGTGTAGTTAGGACAGAAGCCAGCTTATTCTAGAGGAATTTCCTGTCTGATTTTAATTTCCCCCCTCGTTCTCCAAGCTAGACAGAAAAGCTTTTTAATTACACTGCAGAGGGTTAGCCTTTCAGGATATTATTATTGTTATTGAGTACTTCCTCTGAGGATGAGGCACTTCAGTACAAAGTAACAAGGCTTTTGGCTAGGTTGCGATATGAAAGGGGAAGTGTTTTTCTGTTGTGTTTAACATTTAGAGGGCCTTTCTAATATTTAACACCTGGCGTTGTCTACACAAGGAGATTGAGCTGTAAAGAGTAAAAACTTTCCCATCAGTGACTTCCGGGATATGCTGAACCTACAATATGTATTAGTAGCAAAGGAGAAGGTTTGAGCAGGATTCTGTTTGATCCTCAGTCCAAATGTTTATTAGCAACACTCAGTAAGGTTCATTTCAATTGTTTACTTTCTATTCTTATTCGGAGCAAATGGCATTACTCTAAAAAATATTTTTTGCAGTGATGATTCATGAAGTTGATTTGAACACATTTTAAATCAATGCTAGCTCCTAGACCTTAAAGGCTTGCAGATTTCACAAATGGCAAAGTGCCATTTCGGCAACATTGTTGGAAAAACCATTAATTTAGAAGACGAAAATCACAGTAACAGGAAAAACGTCAGAAATCTGTGCTCTTGAAACAGCCTTTTTTTATCTGTTATGTACTGTACACAATTTGGAGCCCCGCAAGCTGCTGTGTGGCCTTACTGTTTCTTCCAGAAAAGCACAAAAAGCACCAAAGCGCTTGCTTTTGTACTGCTAGGAACAGCTCCAACAATCCCGTGCAAGTTAGTGGCACTGTGGCAGCAGATGTGAAAGCAAATGTTATCACCTGAAGACTAATAGATGTGAGGGCCTGAGCACGACATTCCAGCGCAGCCTGCCCAGGGGGGATGAGGCCTCGGTAAATCAGGTAAACGCGGCTCTTGAACTCTCTGGAGCGTTCCCCTTTTGTTCTTCCTGTGGCGTGCGAACAATGGAGCTGTCTGGGTGATGGAATAAGCTTTCTCGGTCGGTCCCCCATCGCGGGGTCTGCTGACCAGCCCCGGACGTCCGAGCCCTGCCAAAGTGTCCCTGGGGTGCCCGCACAGCACGGCACATATCCACGCAGGATGCACCGAGGCGACAGCGGCGTCTTAACGCCATGCAACAGCCGTGTGTAGAGTATATCATTCCAGAGGCACCGTGCCGCCTTACACGGGGCAGGAAAGTGGGGAGCTCTACCTTGGCGCTGGTTTTGTCTCGACAGGCCTGCTGCAAGCAGTGTTTCTGTCTGTGTCCTGCTTCTACTACGACTGCCAGGTGTCTATAGCAGTAGTGCCTGAAAGGTATCAAGTAACGTGCCCGTGAGGACGTAAGTTCTTACTTAGAAAAGAGTTCAGGATCTTAAAAAATCTTTATAATTGCTCAAAGAAGCAGAGGAGAACCAGAGGAAAAGAGTAGAGGAGAACCATGTTGAACTCCTCCCGATTATGTTGTGAAGTTTGAATGTGAAACGTGAATTCCATAAAAAGGCTTCATTGTTCTTCTTTTTAAAGCCATCCAGGCTCCTAGAGGACGTTTCTATTTCATCACGCGAAAGGTTTTGTTTTGTTTTGTTTTTCCTGCTGCCTAGATAGTCTTGAACAAATCCTCCCCCTCCCCCCCCCCCAAACAAAAAAAAAAACCTTTGCCTGTGACTTTCCTAATTTTGCCAGGAAGAAACTCTTCAGCCTGACCGTATTCCCCTGGAGTCAGAGGGCTTTTCAACTTTCCCGGAGCCGGTTAATATGCAGCGCAGTAGCGCATGACTTCAGTTTAAGAGAATTCCAGTGGTGTTCTGGGCTGATCTGCTCTGTCATGTTTTCATGACCCAGTTCTCGCCGTTCTTTGTCTTAGACCTTCCTCGACCCCTCTTCCCTATTATCCCCTCCGATAATTCACCCTGACCATTATTAATGGTGCATTAACTTCAGCCACGCTTTGAATAAAGCTGTTTTGCTAGCGCCCACTCATCCACCCAGTGCACTTAAACAGTGGGCTATTATACTGGTTACTCCTCATCACCATAAAAAGTGTCAGCTCCCCCAGCATACAAAGAAAGGGCTGGGGGCAGGGGCAGTGTCTTTGGGTATGTCATCAGCTACAACATTTAAAGAGATGAAATTATTACATTTTCTATCCGGCAAAGACAGTCCTGCCCCTGTTTTCCTGCTTTGTTCTCAGCAGCCGCTGTGCACGGCAGTGGTTCTGTCTGGGTCCTCCTTACTACGTGTTTTAGATCAATTCAACACAACCCAGGCCTTTTCCAGGATAAACACGCAAAAGTCAGACATGTCTGCAATAATAAAGCAATAAACAGGTTACCTGTATGATGCGTTTGCACAATTTCATTATTTACTATTCAATAGTAATGAGATTGCTAACAACATGATGAAATGACAAGTATGCTAGTTGGAGATGGGGATAACCTTACTTTATTTCCTACATCATAATATTTTTCTTGTATTCAATTCTGAGAAGGAAATGTATTGCAAAACAGATCTTAATTTAGAGGGGATTTTTCTAGTTTTGCATATTGTCTTTTGAAATGCAGCTTATCCCTTTTAAAATGCATGTGTCTTTTTCTAGTCTGTAGCTACTAAAATATCGTTTGAATCCTTGCATTAATAAGTATGAACTAAGAAGTGACTATTTTTAAAACATTTAATATAAATATTAAAATTAAAATAGTTATTGTATTATTTCACTAATAAGATTGAAAATTGCTTGCCTGTCTTCTTTAAGTAAAAGTGCTAGTGACCAACATACAGAATATATTTTATCTGCAGGTTTGGGTTTTATTGCAACTCTCTGTTTTCAGATAAACACTAAAACACAAACAGCTTCAAGAGCTGGAATATTGACTTGAGAGCACACAGAATTGCTAACACTATCAAAATGCTAGTCAGACTAGTGTGGGTTTGATTATACACCAAATGTACTTATTAATGAAGAAGTACAGGGAAACAGGCCTGAGTGGCTTCCTCTCATTGTCAAGCAGTAAGTGAAAAGAATTGTGCTGGAATGCTGGCTCACACTGGGCTTCTTTAGCCGTTTTGCGGGCTCTCAACTGCTCAGGTACAGATAATGATCTGAATCCCTGACCCCTGAATTTTTCACTTTCGAGGTCAAACCTGACTCATTGATGCATGTGATGCTGAAAGAATTTTAATACAGTCCAGTAACAATAATTCCTCATCTCTTCTAAAGAAAATGTCACCTAGGTTTATAATTAGAAGCAGTGAAATAGTAATAACGGGAAATGTTCAGTGTTCAAGGAGGTGGAGAGTTTGAAAAAAGTCTGTGATGGAAATTCTTCAAAACCAGAAAGTTATAGGAGGAAAAGTCTTAATGAGAAGCAAACTGCAGTTAAAACAATTTCTAAGATGCTTAAGCACACTTCATACAGTTATAAAATGTAGCATAACTTTACTAAGGATCAGTTGCGGTTTCTTGTAATCCCAACAATTAATGAATGCTTGTTGCCATCAAACCGGGGTTTTAATGAGATGTGCAAGGCCAGGCGTTTTTTTATAGTTCTATTGTGGGAAGACCTTTTTTTGCTATTCAAATAAAAAAGCCTATCATCTACAAAAAATTCACCCAGTATAAATTGAACACTAATTGGCTAGGACCTGTTTAACAGCTTGACTTGGTAAAAGGTTCCAATTACTAAGCCATAAAGCAACTTCAAATAAATACAGCGGTATTTCATTTTAAAAGGGGTCGGAAATATTGACCAAATCTGGCCTGCGCATGGCTGGTGTTAATTATTCTCTGCGTCCTGAGCAATTTGTGTTTTAGGTCTTGTAGGCATTTAGGTTTTTTTGCTGTTAGCCATTAACCATTGTTTACAAGCTGTTATTGCATTACGCTGTTTTAATAAAAACATGGCTGGATACCCTGGGCGAGTCCATATTCTTTCCTGCACACTTTCCCCTGAAGAGAGATGGTTTGCAGTTGCAGCTCATGATGGAGCAGCTAGAAAAGGATTCTCCCACTGCTGTCAGCTCCTGTTTGCATTCAGGCTGCAGTTTTCCTTGATATTTTCCATCATCTCCCCCAGTTCAAAGACTGTCTAGCTGCAGGTCTTTGTCAAAAGCCCAGTTGGAGATCTTTTATGTTTGAGATGTAGGATTTCTTAGGATGACTTTGATTATTTATTTATTCCACTTCTCTTGTGTGATAGTGCCAATATTTTACACGAAACTGCTCAGCTTGCTCTGAAATTCATGTTGCTTTTATTGTAGCGCTTTTGCCTTTGAAAAAATGTTTTTGAAAGTCCAGCTTTTTTGAAGTCGGTCTCTCTCTTTTCTGCTCTGTTCCACAGCTCCACACCATATATTCCCAACATTCCACACCCCTATTCCGATCGACATGCGTCACCATGAGGGACGGTACCATTACGAGCCACATGCTCTGCACGCTATGCATGGGTAAGTCTGAGACTTGTGTTGCTGTTGGTAAGGAGTCTGGTGTTTCAGTTTTAAGAGCTGAAGAATGACCAAGCAGTCTAAGCCTCTGTGGTTGGGTGCTCATCTTTTCTGGAGGCGTAGGTTCAATTCTCACACCCTCACAGCTCAGTATGTCTTAACGTTTTCACATCTGTATCACA